GATAGCAATTTTATGCAGAAGAAACGCTGTGGGATACACTAGGGCTGCTTCCACCTCCAGGGCACACCTCCCATAGATCCTCACCAAGCAAAAAGTGAGCACTTGGGAGAGTTTAACCTACAAGCAAAATGTAAAGCAAATTTCATTTTGAGACTGAAAATAGAGATTTACAGACAGAAATAAGAAGACTATTCTGTATTTACAACACAGTAAAGTACAACAAGCACCTTTATTTAATGAAATACATGTTAGACAATTTGGGTTTCTTTTGCTTTGATATATTGAGAGATTTGTGAAATATATAAACAGAATACAGAAAAATCTTTGTCTCAGAGCTTTACAAACAATTGGGTCTCTGTAACTAACCTGTTCACACTTTACTGAGTTGCCTTTAAGGCAGCATCGGTCTACTTTAACCAAAACGGAGATGAATTTTGAACCTCCAGTAACCTCATCTAGTAAAATATTATTTTAAAAAAGTGTACTGGTATTTTAGTTTCCCCTGTGATGTCTGTAACTGGATGGATATACTTCTAATCACAAATTGTTTTTTCCAGCCTCACCATTTCCTTTTGTTCTGTTTGCTCTATTTACCACCACAAGAGGTCTGTTTTGGTAACAAGGCTAATTTGTTTATTCAGCTCAAGGGGGACAAAAAAAATCCACACACTTGTTGATTGCAGAAACTTGGGCACCAAATCCAAAATGCAAATTTTGTGCTTCATTGAGGAAAGGAGTGACAACAGCTGTGCCAGCTCAAAGCAGCCTGTACTCAAGAATATTATGAGAAGGATAACCATTCTGTGGCAATGACAGCTTAAATCTCTTCCATTCCAATTCAAACAAAATGAGGAGAAAATAGAGATGTATTCAATGGCACAGAGTAGGAGAAGTGGTTTTTGGCTCTGACCATGAAAGGCCATCCTAATGGAAACTGCTCTGGATTTCTCTTTGGAACAGCTGCAAGGCAGTTATTTAAAAGTACTTATTTGCTTCGAGTGTTTGGCTGGTAGGATCCACTGCTAGCAAAAGCAAAGAGAGAATGATGAATTTTTGTTGTTTTCTTGTTTTAAGCATTTCTGAGGCACTGTTGGAAGCCCCTGGTTCATTAAGTAACTTGAGCTCCAATCATTACTTCTTCAAAGCTTTTAATGCAGAATTCATCTCATGCCATTCACAAAGAGAGAAAATACTAATTACTTCAGAGAATACTTTCATCAGTATGTGTTGTGATGTTTCTTTTTTTTGCAAACAGCAAAGCCCTCTGGGATGCTAAATGCTTCTTACAGAATTATTTAACTTGGTTTAAAGCATCATCAGACTAGTCAGGTTTCTGTGAAGTCATTTTACTTATCCATATTTGAGATATGAAGCCATAACATGTATACAAAGTATCTCCAAATTAAAAATCACAAATTTCTCTTACATTTTATTTCTCTCTCTTTAAGACCAGAATAGCTTATATAATCATAAGTCACTAGATTGTGATTTATTGTGATTAATTTGAGATAATTTATGCTTTACAATGAAATCCTGTGGCAAAAAGCTCAAAGCATATTTGGGAATTTTTTGTTTCATTGACTTCTTTGACATTTGTGAATGCTATCCCCTAGATATTTTCTGTTTCAGATCACAGCTATGGACAGGTAAACTACCTTAAAACTTTACTTATCCTTCATCTTTACACATGACCAGGATGCCTCTGCTCTTACTCACCACTTCTTCTATCTGGTAACAAGATACTTGGGGGTGGAAAAGAAGAGGGAAGATGTGAATAAATTAGTGTGGTGGGAGGGTATGAAGAAACACAACCGTGGAAATGCATTGCTTCAACAGAGTGTTGTAGAGCAGCACCAGAAGCAGGCCCTATGTTGACACACTAGCCATAAGAATATTTAAGGCAGTATTACCAATTTCACATCTGGTACCCAGAAGTGACTTTCAAAACTTTTTCAAAATGTGAGCCTTTTGTTACCTGACTCAGAGGACAAGTCTTGGGAAAATGCCATTTGCCACTAAATTAACAGGAACTTCTCTTATTGTGGTGCCATAATGAGCAGCTGTGAGATTTTAAGATGGAAGCAAAAACCTATCAGAAGGAGCTCTGGTTAAAAAAAAGTTCCTGCTGAGGTCTCTGAGATTCTCTTCCAGGGGAAATAAGCTTGTTTTCCTGGTGAAGTTCAAGGACTGATGATAAGCAGAGGAGTATTTATTACTGCAATGTGTAAAGATGTATGCATATACATGTATAGGTATGCAAAATAAGTAGTATTTACTTCCGAGTCTAAGTTGACTAAATGTGAAGGAAGCCAACTATGCTGGCAATGCCAAAGCAAAGTTTAAAGATAAGGATTAAAAAAATAAAGAAAATTAGAAGTAAAGTCACAAAACTCTTCTTTTGCAACTAAGATGCCGTCTAGCTCATGCAAAAGGCATGCAAGGTTATTTCCAAGTTTAAAAAAATCCTTCCTTAAAACATGAGTCCCTAAATTACTTCTGCAGCACTCCATGGCACCTCCTCAATTTCAAAAACCAAAATAATGTCCTCTGGGGGTGGGGGGAAAAAAAATTTTATTCGACTTTGTTTTCTAAACTGTATCCAAAAATTCATTACAAACATGAAAGGCAAAAGCTGTCCATGCAGTGCAAGTATGAAAAGTACTTTACTTCAATATTTAATCTAGTAATTGTCTCTTTACATACATATTTCACTATGTCCTTGTCTGTTAAAAAGGTCTTCCTTACTCTCAGAAACATATAGATGGCTCCCAGCAGATTGTCTGGAGATGTTTGAAGACTTTTATACATGATTGAAGACTTTTATAAACTGTCATATCCTCAATGATTTACTGAAATCTGTGGGAATTCATGTAATCATTTAAGTCTTCATGTACAGATACCAATTTTGAGCCTACTTTTGCAACATGAAGATGAGAAAATGGTATTTTTTCTATCACAATCTCCTACACTGAGAGACCAGTCTTTCCTCTGCTTCTTGTTGTCATTTATTTTTGGCTCCCAAGTCAAATCTCATTGAAGCAGTTTCTAAAACTTGAGCATGGAGAGAGACCTCTATATTACTAATCAATGACCACAATCACCTATTTATTTCTAGTCTTTGGCCTAGTGATCTAAGGCCAGGCAGAATTTATTCAGTGAAAACTCTCTGTAGGCCCAGGATACCTGCATTTATAGAATACAATAGAAAAGTGACCATGCTGATCATCAAGTCCCTTACAAGTGATAGCTTTTCTTCTACCCATTCTCACACTACAGCTGCTCTTACTGTCCTTTTGAGAAGGCATTTGTCCTGCACAACAATCCTGAGATGCATGCAAATATGAAACATGCTGCAGTTGAGCAAACTAGATGAGTGAAATCTCCTTGGAATAGAGGGTGGTGGATGAGTTTCCAAAATGGTGACGGCTGGCAAATTGACTACATTGGATGACTGTCACAAACAACAGCTACATACTCACCATTATAGAGGCAACAACTGTCTGGCTGTAAGCATGCCCTGTAAACCATTTCCACACCTTGGAATGCCATCTCAGGCCTTGAGAGACACATTTTGTAGCAACATGGTGGACCAGAGGGAATTGAATCAGACAATGGGACTCATTTTCAAAATAACCTCAGAAAGTCTCGGGCAGAGAAACACAGCATTGAATGGATATATCACATCCCTTATTGCCCATGACCCTCTGGGAAGATTCAGAGCTATAATAGACTGCTGAAGACCATATTAAGACCATTAGGTAAACAGGGCATGGAAGCACTGGGATGAAAATTTAGCAGAAGCCATTTGGCTGGTAAATACTAGGGGATCTGCTGACTGCCTTCACCCTAGCCAAACAAAATCCCTTCACACTGTGGGAGGAGATACGGTCCCTGCAACACACAGGGAGTGGCTGGGGAAGTCAGCGTGGGTTTCTCCACCCACTAAGATGAATCAATTTGTGGGATTGTCTTTGCCCAAGGATCTAGATGTACTTGGTGGGTAATGACTTGGTGGGTAATGTGGAAGGATGGGGAGACATGGTGTGTGCCTCAAGGAGATTTAATCCTGGTGGAAAAAACATTCTGTGGTGTAAATTTTATGTTGCAGGAAGTAAAGAAGCAGGAGTGACATTAACTGATGAAGAATGAATTTTGTGAGGAGCAAGGAGAATGCAATGACAACCTAGGCCAGGCTGGTGTTGGTGCTCAGTGATCAAGTATATCATTGGTTCCTGTCCTGACCACTCATCCGATGGACTGGAGATCTGGAGGGATGAAGGAAGCCTATGAAACAGGAAAATAATAATAGCTATCTGTCAAAGAGCAGGGGACAGTAGTTAATTAAAACATATGTTTGGTACAGACATGGTTTAAAGATGTAGTTTAAGGTGTGTGTGTGGGTAAGAAGGGGCTCCAGTAATAAAAAATAAATACAAAGAAACAGTCAGAAGATACATTATTTATGTGGGATCTGAGTGTGACATAAGTGGTATGGAATAAGGGGTGGTGATTACAATGGGTCTGGCTGAGCAGGAGCTCATTTCCCCTTAACAGCTCCCACAGGGCTGCTGACTTTGCACTGATAATTGGAAAGGCGCTGATAACACACCGGTGTTCTGGCTGTTGCTGAGCAGCACTGGTACAGCACCAGCGCTGCCTCTCCAACATTCCTCCCTCCATCCAGGGGGCGGGGGGTGGGAAAGATCCTGGGAGGGGACACAGCCAGGCCAGCTGACCCAAACTGACCAAAGCCATATCCCGTGGCATATGATGTCAGTTCAGATATAAAAGCTACAAATAGTACTATAATACAGCAGTGTCATGTCTCAAAGTATAACAACACTCTTAGTAAGTGAAGAGTGTCTTTAATACAGTAATTCTAGAAAACTCCCCCAATTACTCAAAATGAGAGAGAGAGGAGAAAAAGTTAGGATTCAATGAGGAAATGAAAAAGAGGTTGAATCAGTTCACCTGCTAGAATTTTACTGTGGTGTACTCACCTCAATCACCTCAGGTTGGGACATCATGGATGATGGCACCAAATCGGTGGGGATATCCATGGTAGCTCAAAATGCCCTTGCTGCTCTCCTTGTGCCGTTCCTCTGCACCAGCAAGCTTTTGGTAGGAATACAGAAGCCCTTCCTCAGACTCTAGTCATACTGATATTTACTCCTACCGGGAAAGAAAAAAAACCTGTTGAGAATAAGAAGGGAACTGGGTAACCAGTCAACACCCAAGATCCTGGGCTGCTGCAAAACTAGTCTGGGTTTGTACAGCCCCACTTGCTGACATGACCACTCACAACAGATTTGCAGGAGAAGTCTCAAAAGGTATACTGGAATTTGATCCAGAACAGGAAAAAAATTCACTTGACAACACAAACTAGACTCACACAAACTGAAATCAGCAAGAAGGCTAATGCACAGACTGCTTTTCTTTTGCAAGGAAATGTGGTTACCTACAGAACATTGGAACTATGTTGAGTTTTTCCCCCCCACAACAAAAGGAAAAATAAAATCTCCACAAAAGAGTACTCATAGAAAATGAGTACTGGAATTGCTGGAATTCAGGATACATTTATTCCCTCAGTTCAGTGATCACATGAAATTTCTTTGTTAGAAAAACAGCTTACACATTGTGACTTAAAAATATGACAGCCTTTTTTTCCAGGTAGTCACAGATTTGCAGTACATGAACATACCAAACTGTAAAATTTGCTCAGCTGATTCAACAGAAGGAAGTTATCTCCATAGCTATCATGTTTATTAAGGTCAGTCTAGCTTCCATATGTATGTTATTTTCTTTTTCTACTCCTGTGTGCAAAGAAAACACACTAACAAAGAGGTGGAGGGGGAAACGCCTGTAAATGTCCACGATAAAAATTCCATTTAAAAATTCTAGACTAAGACAACTGCTGGCTTTTTCTCTTAGTGAGACCAGACATATACAACACAACCCACAAATTAGTCACCACAGAAAGGATTTTGGAGAGACACATATTGCTGTCTTCATCTGTCACTTCCTATTCTGCAAGTCATGGCAGAAATCTACTCAGGCAAAGTGTAATCAACATCCAATAAACATATCAAAAATTACTCCAAACTTCTGTGGTATTTTTCAAACTGAGGACATGCTATAGTTACACAGACAATGCCAGTAACTTTCCTGGCCATAAGTTCATTTTTTCAAAGGCAACACTTACCAAGCCAAGAAAGAACAGATAAGTGCTGTAGGAAAGTTATGCTCCACATGCTTTTCTGATTCAGTTATGTCTTTGTTTTTGGTCTTGTTAATTTAAACTCAGCCTTTGCACGCCACCGTGGAAATTATTCCTCCTTCTTAAAAAGCATCATCTTGAAATGCCTGCTTCACATTTCAACACATCCCCACATGCCTTACGTCACATGTAGCTGTCTCATCTTCCAAGCTCTACGATCACTTTTTCCATCTTTATATAGCTTTCCATTGACCCCTATTCTTTCCTACTCAGTTCTGGCTAGTAACCTTTCATTCTTTCCACTCCGTGCTCCAAATTTCTTCTCATTTTCTACCCTCCCCTATACTCATGGGGAGGGTAGAAAATGGAGCTGCAGCATCTTTCCACGATAGTCTTCACAAAGTAAAAGAACAAACACAACCTTCAGGCTCCCTGTTTTCTTTAAAAAATGAGAGTTGAACTAATTTTCTGAAATGCACTAATTTTCTGTGGATAGATGAGGGAAACCGATAGCATCAGCTTGGAATTCTGACTTAGAAGCTTCTGCAACTTGACAGTGATCTTCAGTAAAGCTCTATCAACAGCCTGAAATCCTCAACCAACATATCTCATCAGTGTCTTGTGAACTGTTGCAACTGTAACTTAAATATGATCTCAGAAGACATTTTTTCTGTTCTTCTCATGGCATGCTTAAAAGCAGCAGTTTCAGTGCACCTACTTTACAACAGTCATTGTTAGTTTATTTTAAAATCTTTTCTCTTAATTCTGAAATACTGCCACTTTTGGATAATGAAGGTGGGGAAAAAAAATTACAGTTAAAGCTGACTTTAGAGAATACTGTCTGAACCAAAACCAAAGGTATGCTTAAAATCCTGTCTGTCAAACAAAAAGGAGAGAAAACAAACATTTTTGCTACCAAACATCTTAAAGAAAAAAAAAGTGAAAAACCAAGAAAAAAAATCTGAAGTCTGTTCAGCTCATAGTGTAAAGTACTAATTGATCCCAAATGGATAGGTCCTGTAAACTCATCAAAGAAAATAAAACATTTGAACACCATGTAAAAAAGGTGAGAAAGTAAGAAAAAGATCTCACACAAATGTCACACTTCAGGACGTCGCATCTGAATTTTTGCCATCTGAAAGTATTCATTTGGCATCACTTGCCTCTGGCAGCCTTCACTGAACAATCCTGCTTGCAATTAATTCATTCAGCTCACAAATAAATGCATTACTCCACCATGGCAGCCTTACCAGTCACAAAGAAAAACTAATACCATCCAGGGAAAAGCAACAGCAACGACTTGTCCTGCCTAGCATTTCATTTTACTCCTTGTTAAAGTGATAGGTAGCAGTTAAAGTGTTAGGTAGCACTACAGGTGTTTTTCTGCTGTCTCAAGTTGAGATAAGACCAATTTACTGGAAACAGCAATGAGATAAGAATAAAAACAGTAACAGCAACAATATTAATAACATAAGTATACATACAGAAGGTGATGTACATGCAGGAGTGCTCAAAGATGAACCCGGTGCCATGCTTCCCCTATGATGATGAGCCATGCACAGACCCTCTATGCCTATATTTTTCCTCCTGACTGCAAGCCCCTCCTGTTTCATGCAAGCAAAATTCCCTTACTACCAGCCCCCTGTGGTGACCTTTGGGGCATAGACCTAGGCATGTCCACAGGGCTCCAGGCTCTGACCCCTCCCAGCTACTGTGAGAAAATTATCTCTGTCCTGGTCAAAAAAACAAGCACTATCCACCCCTTATTCTATGCCATCTACATCACACCCCAATCCTACACCTTCCAACTTTACACACATACATATCCAGATACACTCAAACACAGGCATCATTTCCATAGTCAGTGCCTGTCCCTCCAAGATGTCTGTTGTGTTCATTTAGTCCATGACTGTGGGCTCTATGAGGAGCTCATGACTGTATCTGGAGCATCCATACTCATTGTCCTTGGTAGTTATGGCATACATATAGTGGCAGCGCCATTCAGCAACCAACTTTACAGACTCTTCTCACCCAAAAAGCAAATCCTTTTGAGGTACACACCACGTTTCCCCATCCCTCTGCATTATCCGAGTGCACTCAATCCTTGAACAAAAACAATCCCATGGATGGGTTTGCCTTTTCTTGAGGAAGCACTAGTCCAAATTGTCTTCCCTTCCACATTTCTCATATCCACCAGAGCAACTTCATCCCCTTCCACAGTACGTGGAGGTTTGGATTGGGCAGGGCCAGCTCAAATAGTAGAGCCTCTAATACAAGAGTCTCTAGTGTTAACTAACCAGGTGGCCTTTGCTAAATGTAGATGCCAATGTTTGAAGGTCCCACTACCCATTGCTTTCAATATGGTTTTTGGCAGTCCATTGCACTGCTCAATTTTCACAGAGACTGGTGCATGATAGGGAGGGACTATGATAAACCTACTCAATCCCATGCTCTCTGTGCCAGGTGCCTAGTTTTGAAATTACTCCTGTTGTCAGACTCAGTTCTCTGGGGTGTACTATAACTCCAAAGGACTTACTTTTCCAGGCCCAAGGTGGTGTTCTGGGCAGTGGTGTGAGGCACAGGGTAGTAGGCCTCCAGCCATCCAGTGGTGGCTTCCACCATGGTCAGCACGTAGCGCTTGCCTTGGCGTGTCTGGGTAGTGTGATGTAGTCAATCTGCCAGGCCTCCCTGTACTTGTACTTGGACCACCGCCCACCGTACTACAGGGGCTTCACCCTCTTGGCCTGCTTGATCTCAGCACATGTCTCACAGTCATGGATAACTTGGGAGATACTGCCATGGTTAGATCCACCCCTAGATCACAAGCTCAACTGTGTGCTGCATCTCTTCTCTGATGATCAGAAGTATTATGGGCCCACTGAGCCTGAAGTAATTCTTATTGCCAGTCCAGATCTACCTGAGACGCTTCAGCCTTGGCAGTTCATCCACTTGTCTGTTGTGTTGCAAGTTCTTCAGAAGCCTGACTCTTGGGTACATGAGTCTACAGCACACACTTTTACAGCAACTCCTCTACCCAGGCAGAGATGTCTTGCCACAATTCAGAAGCCCAGATGTGTTTCCCTCTGTGCTGCCAGCTGTCTTTTTTCCATCCTTCCAGCTGTCCCCACAGAGCATTTGCCACCATCCATGAGTCAATGTGGAGATAGAGCACTGGCCACTTCTCTCATTCAGTGATATCCAAAGCCAGCTGGACACCTTCAAGCTCTGCAACTTGACTTGATCCAGCTTTTCCATCAACAGCTTCGCAGCTTGCTATACAGGACTCCACAGACCAGATTTCATTTTTGACATATCCATAAGATATGGCACAAAATATCAATGAAGAGAGAACATAACTTCCCATTTTCAGGTAACTGATAATATGGTAAGATCTCCTCAGTACGTTACCACTACCTTCTCTCCTCCTCTGTTTCTGATGATAATCTGAAATTTTTGCTTTTGTACCAGTCCATGATTACTTCTGGTGATTTGGATTTCCTGTTTGATCTTACTGTATGATCAAGCGCAACCAACTTATTCCACATGGCATCAGTGGCATGAAGTCTGGAAGGGACTTTCACTTTAAATATCCAGTCCAGTACTGGGCAGCCAGGGTGCCAGGAGGACCTATACTTTGGTGCCAATCACTTCTGAAGCACATGATCTCCTTCATGAGCTTCAAAAGCAGATATGCTTTTTCAGCCAGGGTGTAAGATACCTTGGAGCCTTTGTATGACTGACTTCAGAACTCCATGGGTTGTCCTTGAGTCTCTCCAGGTACTTCTTGTGAGAGATTCCAGGAAGGTCCATTCTCCCTGGCTGCAATGTAGAGCACACTTTTCACATCCTGTCTCATCTTGACTGGCCCAAGGGCTACTGCATGAACAATCTGTTGTTTAGTTCGTCCAATAAATTGTCCGAAATTTTTTCCATGTCACCTGATAGAGAGGGCTTA